AGGACCACCTGGATTATGAAGGGTCTGAAAATCTTAGTCATTCATGCTTTCATTTATTTAACATGTGTATATTAAGCATCTAGTATTTTCCAGGCAATATGCTAGGTAGTAATTGGTAGAGAAAAACATTTTTTATGATCAATTGAAGGAAATAAAGATACTTGTAGAGATAAACAAAGACCAGCCAAATGAGAACAAATGAAGCCTGTCTAATTCGGAGCTTGCTAGAGCAAGGAAGACAGCAACCATCACTTGCATTTGGCACAGACTCAAAGGCAGGCAGGGGAGTAGAAAAGCTCCAGAGTGAACAAAAGGCTTCAGGTGTGCTCTAATTGGAGGCTGCTGGCACAGAGAAGCTGGAGGCAGGATATTAGAAGTGGGGCATCTTATGTGATTGATTTGGGGAGCATATTTGGCTTTCTCCAATTGGTTTTGATTTGGAAGTAAAGGCAAAAATTAAGGAAGTTGTCATTCAGCTCTATTGCTGTAGAGCTTATGAGTCAGTCTATTATTGGGTGTTCTGGCCATTGTCTGTTTATATGTTTGGTTTCTAATATTGAACATTGAGAACAGAAGACTCAGAAGAATAAGGAGAAACACTGATAACTACTTCACCATGTTGATAACTGTATTCAAATACTTTAAGATTGACTGTATTGAAAAAGCATTTGTTTTTAATACAATAGATTAAATTAGGACCAGTGGATGAACTTCTTCGGTAAAAGAAAGAACTTTTAAACATTCAAACTATTTAGATACAATCTCAGTCAATGGTTATCTGCTAAAGGAGGAATTCAGATGTAGGCTGGATGACATTTTGGCAGTGATATGGCAAAACAAATCGCAAATCTTGACAAGCACCAGAATTATTTGATATCTTTGTCACCAGTGCAGAATCTTGGGCTCTATCCTAGATCTGCTGTATCTGATCAGTGGGATATGATGGATGATTCTCTTAAGAAACATTTGTGGAAACATTTGCAGACACTGTATAGGTAGTTGGATTAGATGACTTGCAAAAGTCCTTCTACCCCAAGAGTATAATAGCCTAACTTTTGCATAGCATAGTCATAACTGGGAAATAAACCATTTATTCATTTATTTAACAATATTGATTGAGTAGCTTACATTATGCCACACTTTACTTTAGGCCTATATTTTAATTCCATTAGTATGGTGCAGTCCTACATGCCAAGAAGATAGTGAGGAAAAGAACTAGCAGCAGCCAACAGATTCACAGCTTGGCTTTGCCTGGGAATCTCCAAGCCCAGCACAAGTAGCAGCTATCTCAGATTGCTTTATAGCTCAGGCAGAGTGGCTCTGGGCAAAACACAGATGGGGGCTGACCTTGGCCTGCACCACCCAGGAAACTCCAAGGACAATGCTCCCAGTGGACAGCTACAGGCCACATTAGAGCACCGCCACACTGCCCTTCCACAGCTGATCCTCTGTGGAGGGTGGAGGTTGGTGGTCTGTGGTCACAGCCAGTCATTGCAACTGACTAGGAGGTAAATCCCTCCCATTGATCTGCTAACAGCAACCAAGGCTCAGCTACAAGAGGATGGTATACTCAACTCAAAGAATTGAGTACCTAGAGTACCTAGCTTAGGTGATAGTGGAGGATGTGCCACTGGACCCTACAAGATACCAACTATATTAGACCACACTACCAAGACACAAAGCAGCTCTACTTAATACGTAGAAACAAACACAGGGAGGCTGCCAAAACAAGGAGTCAAGGAAACATGGCCCAAATGAAAGAACAGATTAAAACTCCAAAAGAAGAGCTAAACAGAATGGAGATAAGCAATCTATCAGATGCAGAGTTCAAAACACTGGTTATAAAGATGCTCAAAGGACTTAGTAAGGACCTCAAGAGCATAAAATGATCCAATCAGAAACAAAGGATACACTAATTGAAATAAAGAGAAATCCACAGGGAAACAACAGTCTAGTGGATGAAGCCAAGAATCAAATCCATGATTTGGAACATAAGCAACCAAAAAACAACCAACCAGAACAAGAAGAAAAAAGAATGCCAAAACATGAAGATAGTAGAAGCAGTCTCTGGGACAACCTCAAGAGGCCCAACATTCGCATGATGGGGTGCCAGAAGGAGAAGAGAAAGAGCAGAAAATTGGAAATATATTTGAAAACATAATGAAAGAAAGCTTCCCTAATTTGGTGAAGGAACTAGACATGCAAGTTCAGGAAGCACAGAGAGTCCCAAACAAGATTGTTGCAAAGAGGCCCACTCTGAGACACATCATAATTAAAATGCCAAAGGGTAAAGATAGGAGAGAATCTTAAAAGCAGCAAGAGAAAATCAGTTAGTTACCTACAAGGGAACTCCTTTAAGACTGTCAGCTGATTTCTCAAAAGAAACTTTGCAGGCTAGAAGGGATTGGTAATAAATACTCCAAGTCCTAAAAAGCAGAGACCTATAGCCAAGATTGCTCTACCCAGCAAAGCTATCATTTAGAATCAAAGGGTAGATAAAGAGCTTCTCAGACAAGAAAAAACTGAAGGAGTTAATCATCACCAAATTATTATTATATAAAATGTTAAAGGGACTTATTAAAAAAAAAAGATCAAAAGTAGGAAGAGCAAAAAATACCTATCAACAATTGAATCTAAAAAAAAAAAAAACTAAGCAAACAAGAAGAACAGAGACAGAATAATGGATATAGAGAGCACTTTTATGGTTGCCAGATGGATGGAGGGTATGGGGGGATAGGTGAAGAGGTGAGGGGACTAAGAAATACAAATAGGTAGTTATGGAATAGCCATGGGGATGTAAAGTACAGTATAGGAAATGGAGTAGCCAAAGAACTTAAATTCATGACCTGTGAACATGAACAATGGTATGGGGATTCCTTGAGGGCATGGTGGGTGCTGGGTGGAAGGGGGCAAAAGGGGCAAGTTCAGGACAACTATAATAGCATAATCGATCAAATACAATTTAAAATAACTCATATGTTCATTTTTCAAAGATTTATTGAGCATCCGTTATGTACCGAGGTACTGTGTTGAGCTCTAGTGAGCTAGTGATGAACAAAACTGATATAGTCTTTTTTTTCAGAGCTAATAATAGAGCAGGAAAATAAACAAAAGATATTTATAGTAAAGGGTGATACATGTTGTTATGGAAAGGAAAATGGTGTGAAAATTATTGTTTTTATTCTGCTGTTTTTCCCCACATCATAACTCCAATTAAAATTTAATCAAGTTCTATAGAAAGAAATTAGTGCTTCCTTTCTTCAGACTTGTTTTGGTTTTAAGTAAAACTTGACAGCCTTTGGGCCCTAGCCTAGGAGTGCTAGGAGACTTCAGAATAGCACTTTGTATTTAAAACCTCTCTGTGGTTGAATAAACCATTCAAAGGGAAATCCCTGGTTTGGGCTGACTCTGGTTGTTTTAGTACGTGATTCTGGAATTCTGAGTCTTTGGGGCCTAACCACTCTTTCTAACCTTATTGCAATGGAGCTAACTTGGATTATATACAGGGTCCAGCAGAATTAACACCACTGAGTGTGGTTGGTGGGGTGCATGAATGTCTCACACAAGGTGGACTGCAATTTGAACATTTCACCTAAAATGTCATGTGGTGTGCTTGAGTGTGATATAGTTATATTAAAAAGTTACATGCTTATGATTTTGTAATAAAATATTTTATGTAATAAAAAAGTGGCAGACCCTGTATTTCAAGCAAGTTTGTATTCAAAACACCACGTGTTGTCCTGTGTGGTACACAGGAAGGAGCTCAAGATGGGAAGCAGCTGCCTATTATCTAGTTCTGTCTCTTCTACTAATTAATGTGTGGCTTCGACCTTACTAGGCCTCAGTTTTTTCAAAATGCTAAATGATCTTTACTAGTTCTAAAATTCAGACTTGGTGAAATGAAATGGAGGAAATATCATTTTGTACTTGCCTATCCTCTTGCCTTCTTCCCAGCTACACAAAGATATCGGAAGCCTCATTACCACTATTGAATGGATGTTGAAATAATGTACTTTCTAATATGGACATGCATGTGTTCTTTGGGCTGGAGTTCGAAGCTTCAATGTCTACCTGCTAATCTGGTCTGAATGGCTGAACTGTGCCAGGTGCTTGAGGAATGAGTCAGCTTTTCTGAAGGAGAACCCTGCCCTGGAAGCACGCAGCACTTCTCTCCTCACCGCTCTCTGAGTCTCTGTAATTCTAGTTATTACCAAGGGTTTTGGTTCAAAACACAACAGACCCTCAGAGACTGAAGATGCTACCACCTCTGACTGATAGTATCCCCACTGTCTAAAGACTTACTCCATTCTTTTGCTCACGCCTGCCTGATCAGATTCCTTTCAAACAGATACCTGTCAGATCACACCAAGTTCCCCTGCGGTTCCATAGAGCAGGTTGTACCTTTGAATCTGGTCCTACCTTGACTGGGCTTGATCTTCTGTCCCTGGAGGGCACAACTGAAGTCCCAGTTAGTGTTTCCTCAAACCCCCTCAAGTTAAGGTAGACACAGGTACATGGATATTCACATGTAAGAACACTGAACCATTTTAAATTAGAATTTCCCTTAGAAATCATACACTCAAAATTTTATTTATTTATTTGTTTATCTAACTTGTAGTACAAACTTATTTCTGACATAATCTACACAATGTCTTTTCACTCTAGAACTTGATTGTCTAAGTCAAAACTTCTGGTGCAGGGGGACCCATGTGCGATCACCTGTGTGAAGAAGAGAATGCAGACAGTGACTTTATCAATGTATTGTATTATATTATGACAGCAGCTATATTTTAGCAAATGTCATTAAAATTAATTTAAATACAGTGTTAGGTCTGAAATTAGCTTTTAGTTTTAATTTTAAAAATTAACTTCTGACTTTTTACTATTTACATAATTGAACAGTTTGAGAAAATAGTAATTTATGCAGAGCAATGTAATAATTTTTCTTGTTCTCACATTTAACTTTTTAAAAATGTATTCTACTTTTCTACAATTGGCAGAACTTCTCCTTGTGAGGCTGAGCTTCAGGAATTGATGGAACAAATTGACATCATGGTAAATAACAAAAAATTGGACTGGGAAAGGAAGATGCGGGCTTTGGAAACAAGATTAGATCTTCGGGATCAAGAGTTGGCAAATGCACAAACTTGTCTGGATCAAAAGGGTCAAGAGGTACTGAATATTTGTGTTAATAAACTGTTAATTCCTCAGACTGCTCTAAATAGTAGTTAGTCTATCAACCTCTGTTTTCATTACCCATAGTTTCCTATGAGGCATTAGCAATAGCCATTTTTGTTTGAAATTCTGTCCTAGTGTGTTAAATGTGTTCTATGAAAATAAGTGACAGAGCCTAAACCTGTAAAACTATTTCTGCAGACAGAAATATAGAATCAATGCCATCTAGAAAAGTAAACAAACATTCAATATGTATGTGTAATAAATATTGTGGGCGAGAAAGATGTCAGTGCTTTTGCTGCTGTAGAAACAAGTCTATAGCTGTCAAAGCTGGGTCCTTGGACAAGGCGGAGTTCAAGAGCATTTGCACTTTCTAATCTACTGAAAGAAGTGAAATGTCAAGAGTTTGGTGAAGGATGTGTGTGTGTACCTGGGCACCCACTCAAGAGGTGAGCCCTCGGCCCCTGTGAGGCTGGCTCAGCTGCCTCAGACTGTACGAGAGCCCCCAGGCCTGCAGGGGAGCTCGGGAACGCCACATGCTTTACCCAAGGTGGACTTTTGTGCCTGTGAATTTTTCTTGGAGGTGAGGCAGAAATGTTTGCTAACTATACCCTGAAACATCATCAGTCGATGTGGTCAACAGCCATCTTCTTAGCTTTATTGGCCTCTCACTGCAACTCAGTTTTGGCTCACTTAACTGTGTTACTGTTTGGTATAGTTAACTGTGTTACTGGCTTCTGGTTTCTCTTCACAGTACATATGCAAGGGACTATTCTCTCCCTTCCATACCTAGAATGACACAGATGTATAAACAGGTGCCTCACCTGGTTTTTAAGCAGACAAATTCTGTAAGCCATATCCCTAAGAACTCCTGTTCGACATTTTTCTTTTTCTTTTTAATAAGTTAATTCTTATAAAAATGTAACATTTGGTCTACCATTCCACCAAAGCAGAGTTCCCATTGAAGGCAATGGGGCTTAAAATAAGAGCTGAAGCAAGTCAGTAGAGGTTCTGCCCAACAGTAACATAAGCCTGCCAAAAAGATAATGCAAAGTAAAGTCTAAACCTCAATGTGAAATGGGATGGTGATACAGATCTTTTGTCAAACATCCATTCCATGATGTCCTAGGTGTCCCAGTGGAATAGTGCCAGCAGTGTTGGTTGTTGTGAATTTAATTGTTAGTAGGTATTTTAAGCACTGTAGTACAAATTTTTCTTCTTGGTTTGGTACAGCAGCTTTATTTAAATTGTATCCCTCTTTTGCACATTTTTTTTGGTCAGGCAAAATTTAGTAAAATTAAAATTAAATTATATTCTCAATGCAGGTGGGATTACTTAGACAGAAGTTGGACAGTCTGGAAAAATGTAACTTAGCAATGACTCAGAATTATGAAGGACAACTACAAACCCTAAAAGCTCAAGTAAGAAGGCTTATTATTTAATACTGCATTATGATCTATGTTTTGATCTATAAATTTGTGTTAATTTTATTAAAATGGTTGTTTTTAGTACAAACAAAAGTTCTTACATTTTAACTATAGGCTATATGTTTAACCCTGTCTTTCATTGTTTTATATGTATTGGTTTTTGTCTTTTACTAGATTGTATCTCTGGAACTGTTAGCATAGTGCTAGACTAATAGCTTTTTATTTATTAAGTGACTTGTTGATTAATTATCCTACATAACTGTGTGAACAACAACAACAAAAAACAAAATTAGTGTTGTGTGGTCATTACTCCCTAATAAGGAAGTCCATTTTTCTATGGCAATTTAAAATATGCACATTTGCTATTATGAAATAGATAATTGAAGGAACAAAACTGGTGCTTTATTACTTTGTTACAGGTAGGCTGTTTCAGAGATGATAGAGCTCTGCATAAGTGGTAAGAGGGATACTGATTTTTTCCTCATTGATCCCTACATTCCCCCACTGCTGGAAAGCAAAAGTCTCCTCTCCCTTACACAGATAACATACAGGGCAATAATCATCTGAGCGTCTGAGGTATAGTAGATGCTACATCCTTTGCTTAACTTAGTAGATGAATCGATATAAAATATGGTTTGATTATAAAATTGTACTTTATAACCAACTTTCTTGGGAGTACAAAGATTTCACAAATGGTAATATAATTAAAGGAGCCCAAAGTAGTTAATGCATCCTCCTTAAGTACCTTTCTAGGGAGATTACCAGCCATTAATACTGGAATGTGAAACATTTGATGCCACATAATAGGTATGATCTTCTAAGACTAGCTCTTAAGACATTTTGCCTGCAATGTAAATAGCTGCCACTAGTTGGTAGCTTTAATTATGAAATATCATATGGTTTTTTCTTGCTAAAACTCTGAGCATTGAACACTTCATTCAATCAACCTTGCATTTTCTATAAAGGTCTAAAATTGCAGTATAAATATTAAGTCACTATAATTCTCCTGTATAAACAAAGAGATTATGATCTGGAAAAAGTTTGAAAATATATAGAAATCTAAATATAGATTAAATATAATCTCTAAATTATATTTAACTAGTTCAGTCATGCTTATGTAATCTTCAGTTTGTGTTGTTTTTTATGCTTGTTAAAAAATGTTGGGGTTGTGTTTAAAGGTATTGCAAAGTCACTTACTAAATGAGTCCTTACCATTTCATGCTTGCATGGCTGCTGGCTAACCAACAAGCATCTTTATGGCAATTTCACAGGAATTTGTTCTATGCATTGCTGATACTGAGAGTTTAGGAAATGTGTACTCCTCTGCTCCTGGGTATTCAGAGTAATGATTAGTGTAGTAGAGACTGTGAGAAGTCCTACTTTAAACAAATGCATTTAGCCTTTTTAATCCATCGTTTTCCAAACATTTTTGACCATATGACACTTTTTATTTTTAAGCCCAAACCTACCAATATTGTAGTATAGTATTACAATGTAAATGTTGTAAGTAGGTATTTCACAGGACACACTTTGGAAACACTACATTACTACATTATTGTTGAGAGAACCACCATCTGTTTCAACTACCATTTTCTGCCTCTCTTTTCTTCTCTGGTTACAAGAAAGGAAAGAAGAGAATTAGGGAGAGCAGAAGAAAAAGAAAGAGGGAAGGAGATAAAAAGACAAAGAGAAAAAAAGTACTATGAACTTGACTTGGTTTGCATGATAGCTAGTAATATGTCACTTTTCTAGTCAGAAAAATGCTTTCTTGTGGCAAACATGCTTTTGTTGCTGCCAGCTTACTCAACTGGCAGTGCTTCCTTCTTTGAAATTCCTGGTTTATGTACAGTTTCATTTTCCTAAAATATCTTAAGGATACACTTTATCACACTCTGACCCAACTCAACTCTGTCAAAGCTTTCATGTAGAAATTCTTTCTTTGAAAAAAAGGATGGGGGTATTTTCTTTTACTTCTAACCATTATAGAACTCCACAAAATATATATGTATTTGAGATTTCCACTTCTGGAAAGATGGAATAGATTTATTTTGTCCTATTCCTCCTGCTAAATGCAATTAGAAACCCTGGACGTTATTTATACAACAGTATAAGAAGACTCTAAGAAGTGTAGAGAAGAGACAGACCAATTAGGACTTGCGAACCAGGAATGACATGCTAGTGAGTTCCCTGAGATTTCTATTTGCCTCATATGTCCCCGACTTCATAACAAAGAAGCAGGCAACCCAGATACTCCAGTGGGCACAAACAAACAAAAACAAGCCTCACAGAAAGCCTGCTCTCCTCAGCAAAAAGACCCAAAAATAGACAACCTAGCAAGATTAAACATGATTATTCCAGCCAAAAACCCCAGAAAAAGACTACAATCTAAAACCCACCCCAGTAAGGTAGACAACCTAAGTTTCCACCCCTACCAGGCTATAACGAGGTAGACCAGTACTCCCTTCCCCACCTGGCAGGTATCAGAGAAGACTGAGTGAAGAGGCAGAAATTTCATTACTATTGGGCATTAACAAAGTCCTCCCCAAACCATGGTGTCAGTGGAGGCCATGTAAATAATACTGAACAAAAGTGGGGTTTGGCTGTCCATTGCCACCACAGGCATATTCTGGAGACAGAGGTTGGTGAGGAAAAAAAAGAAGTCTTTATTAAAATGTTGTATAATTTGGGAGGATGGGGTTCCTTGGAGCCTCCTTATCTGTGCTTTGGAGCCCAAGGTGGCTATGCCAGCAGCTCTCCAGCTTCAGGTTCCCTCCTGGAGTCTGCATGTGTTGTCAGAGCTGCCATTCACCCTGAGGCTTCCAGAACCAGCCAAAACCACAAGCCCTAGCCAACACATTTGCCAGGTAAGTCCAAGAGGAAGAGCACATTTCTCTTTTCCCTGAATTTCAATCTCCTGGCCCAAACTTCTGTGCTCTCTGGGAGAGTCTGGCACCCCTCAGCCAGTCCTGTCCTTTCCCCAGGCTAGACTGACAAGGCAGCATCTCCCTCACCTTCATGTTGACCTGTACATTCATATGCAACAGTGTCTTCTGGTCCCACCCCCACCTAGGGAAGATCCATCAGGAGAGAGTAGAAAGGCTTTTAGCTTTGCACGCATTGACTTCTTCCTAACAGGTCTTTGCCTGGGAGTGAGGAATCTGTTATCATGCACCTGGGCTAGCCTCCTGCAGCCCTTCTCCTCTGCTCCTGTTTGCACAGCTCACACTTGGGGCACTGGCCAGGTTACTGGCCCTGGCCAGCTCTGTCCAGGCCTATCTGTATCATGAAGAGCCTAGATTTCTATGTATATCTGCTGATGATGAGGCATGCCTCCTACTCCTCCCTAGAATGATATCAGGAGGCATAATGAGGAATCAAGGTATTCCCCACCCCTCAGTGGTAACAGGGCTACCTACCCTCAATACAGTATCACTGAAGGCCATGTGTAAAACAGTAGCAAGGCACCTATGCCTCTCTAATCAAGGTGGTGTCAGTAAAAGACTAGTAGGGAACCTGAAGTTCCACTCCCACTCAAAAGTAGTAAGGAACACCTTTCCCAGGTTGCCAACTAAGGCCAAGACCTGGATCTACACTGCTAGCTGGAGGTAATGAGGCAGCATGCAATTTTCCATGTTGGAATGTTATCAGAATGGAAGGACAGATAAAGTGCTTCTCAGATAAGGTCAAGTTGAAGGAGTTCATCAACACCAAACAAACCCTTATTTTATGAAATGTTAAGGGGACTTATCTAAGAAAAAGAAGATAAAAAACATGTATAGTAAAATGACAGCAAACTGACAATTATTAACAACCACACCTAAATAAAAACAAACTAAGGAAACAACTAGAACAGGAACAGAACCACAGAAATGGAGATCACATGGAGGGTTAGCAACAGTGGGAGGAGGAGAGGGGGAAGATACAGAGAATAAATAGCATAGATGGTAGGCAGAATATAGATGGGGGAGGGCAAGAATAGTATGGGAAATATAAAATGGGAAGAACTTAAGACACATGGACATGAACTAAAGGGGTGGGAGAGGGTGTGCAGGGTGGAAGGGAATGAAGAGGGGGAAATGGGACAACTGTAATAGCAGTTAATCAATAAAAATCAATAAAATATATTTTTAAAAAAGAAGAGGACTTCTAAAATACAGTATTTAAATAAAATCTAGAGTGTCATAACACAATACCCCAAAATGTGTAGGTTTCAATGAAAAAATCACTCATTATACCAAGAACCACAAAGATCTCAACTTAAATAGGAAAAGATAATCAAGTGATGCCAACACCAAGTTGATAAAGATGTTAGAATGATCTGACAAGGCTTTCAAAGCAGCTGGCCTAAAAATTCTTCAGTGAAAAATTTACAAACATATTTGGAACGAATGAAAAATTAGAAAGTTTTAGCAAAGAAATAAAACTATAAGGAAAAACCAATTAGAAATTTTATAACTGAAAAATACAATAACCAAACTAAAAAAACAGAAAATCAATGGATGGGCTTAAAAGCAGAAGGGAGAGGATAGAAAAACAATCAATGAAGTTGAAGATAGCAAAATAGAAATTACCCAGTCTGAACAGCAGAAAGAAAATAGACTAACAGTTACTGGCCAGTGGCTCAGTTGGTTAGAGTGTTTTCCTGTACACAGAAAGATTTTGGGTTTGATTCCCAGTCAGGGCACGCCCCTAGGTTGCAGGTTCCATACCCAATTGAGAGTGCGTGAGAGGAAACCAATTGATGTTTCTCTCTCACATTGGTTTTTCATTGTCTATCTATCTATCTATCTATCTATCTATCTATCTATCTATCTATCTATTTCTCTCTCCCTTCAATTAAAAAATTTCCAGGTGAAGATTAATAATAGAAAATAGACTAAGAAAATTAACCTGAAGGTTGTGGGTTAAAAATCTGTGTCATCAGAATGGCAGAAGGAGAGGAAAAAAATGGTGGGGATGAAAAAGTATTCAATGAAGGCTGACAAGACACAAACTTACAGATTCAAGAAGTTTAGTGAAAGGCAAACATGATAAACCCAAATATTAATAAAAAAGGAAAAGCAATACTTAGATAATTCAGTGGAAAAAGACTCTTGTCTTTTCAACAAACAGTAAAGGGACAAAGGAATATCCACATACAAAAGAATTCAGTTGGACCTTTATCTAAACCATAGATAAAAATTAATTCAAATGGATCAAAGACCTAACTGTAAAAAACTGAATCTGTAAAACTCTTAGAAGAAAATATCAGGAGCAAATATTTCTAACCTTGCATGAGGCAATGGTTTCTTACATTTGGCACCAAAAGCACAAGAAAAAATAAATAAACTTGACTTCATCAAAATTGAAAACCTTTTGTGAGTCAAAGGACACCATCAAGAAAGTCAAAAGTCAACATGCAAAATGGAAGAAATATTTGCAAATTATATCTATGATAAGTGGTATCTCAAATTAAAAAATAACTTGTCAACAATAAATGACAAATGACCAAATTTTAAAACAAGCAAAGATATAAATAAGCATTTCTACAAAAGAGATATACAAATGGCCAATAAGCATATGAAAATGCTCAACATCATTAGTCATTGGGAAAATGTAAATCAAAACCATGAGATACCCCTTCACCCTCACTGGGATGTCTATAATCAAAAAGACTGACAATAGCAAGTGTCAATGAGGATATAGAGAAATTGGAACCCTATACATTGCCATGGAAATGGAAAATGATTCAGCCATTTTTTTCAAACAGTTTGGCAGTTTCTTAAAACATTAAACTTAGAGTTTCCCATGACCTAGCAATTCTACTCCTGGATATATACCCAAGAGAAATAAAAAAAATATATCCACACGAAAACGTATACAAATGTTCATAGTATTTTTTATAATAGCCTAGAAAGTGGAAATAACCCAAGGGCCCCTAAGTTGATGAATGGGTGAACAAAAAGTGATATATCCAAGCAATGGACTAATATTCAGCCATTAAAAGGAAGTATCTGTTGATCCATGTTATAACATGGATGAACCTTGAAAGCATTATGCTAAAAGAAAGAAGCCAAACAAAAAAGACCACATATTGGATGACTCCATTAATGTGAAATGATCAGAATGAGCAAATCAATGGAGACAGAAAGTGAATGTTAGTAGTGACCAGGGGCTTGGGGAAGGAGAAAATGTGCAGTCACTATGAGCAGGAATGGCATTTCTTTTTGTGATGATGAAAATATTTTGAAATTAGATAGTGGTTGCACAACTTAGTGAAGGTACTAAAAACCAATGGATTGTGTAGTTTCAAGGGTGAATTTTATGGTAGATAAATTATATCTCTTCTTGTTAAGTTACATGAGAAAGAAAAAAGAAAGCAGAAGTGACTATTTAATATTTGATAAAGCAGTGGACACAGTTGTCCATAGCTTTATTTGTAATAGCCCCAAACTGAAAATACCCAAAATGTCTCAATAGGTGAGCGGTTAAATAAACTGTGGTTACACCTGTGCCATGGAATCATGCTGAGCAATAAAGAGAAATGAACTATTGGTACACACATGCATCCCAAGGGCATTAGGCAGAGTAAAAACACGCCAATCTCAAAATATCATGTTGTCTGATTCCATTTTATAAAGGGACCAAATAGAGAGATGGAAAACAACCATAAAGGGACCATGGAGAGATGGTTGCCTGGGGTCAGGGGTGCGGGATTGAGTGCTGAGTGTCACCAGGGAGATCTTGGTGGTGATGGAACGATTCTGTACCTTGATTGTGGGTGTGGTCACACAAATCTACACACAATAAAAAATGGCATAGAACTATATACATGTATTGTACTGAAGTCATTTTCCTGGGTTTGATATCGTTTGTTAAGGTGTAAGTATTGGGAGAAACTGAGTGAAGAGGATTCAGAACCTCTCTGTTATATTTTTCTAACTTCCCGTAAATCTATAAATATTTGCAAATAAAAAGAAAAACTTTTGTAAATGGTTACATAAAAATTTTCTCACAGATGTTGATAGACCATGCTGCTCTTAATCTATTATTTGATAGTAGAAAAAGAAACATAAAAAACAATAGTCTAAATTGTAAAAAGAATTATTGGTAAGAAAAATATTTCAATTTTTATATTTAAATTTAAGCTTATATCAACATGAGTAAGTCATTTATATTGTTTCTGTCTTTTAAATTAAGTGTGTCATTTTCTTGAATAAAGTATAAACTGCTAATTTTATAGATTGAGATCCTGAAATTTAAATTGTCAACACAAGATGGCACTAAATAAAGTAAGGAAAAAACTCGAGTTTTTAAAAATTATAAGCTTGGCTACATATGGTTAAAACAAAACTGAACAAAACATTTATCAAGTGAACCATTGTTTAACTGCAGTTAAGGAAGTCCCAAATTTATGTGAAAGCTACATTGTGTTCAGCTTCAATAATTTAGCTTTAATAACTAGTTCTGTCTTCACTAATTGGAATATTTAAGCTTTACTGCATTTTCTAATCATGACTTAAATTTTCAAAGAGGTGCACAAGAAAAGAATGATAGTGAAACCAAGTTAGAAATTACCAGTAATAGTAAAACATTAGCATTCTCTATTATTTACAGTTTTCCAAACTAACTAATAGCTTTGAAAAACTGAGATTACACCAGATGAAACAAAATAAATTTCGGCGAAAAGAGTTACCACACCTAAAAGAAGACATACCCTTTGAACCGAGCAATCTGAACCAGAAACTAGAGGTGAGCTGTTCCCTTGGCTCCTCTGTGTGTGTGGAAGATGGATTTGCGTTGCTGTGGTGGGGGCGGGGCTGTCTGTCTCTAATGCACACAACGGTGCGTGCAGCTGTGGTAACACACACAATGACACACCAACTTCCCATTGAATATATTTTCATAGGGCACCTTCACTGCAGGCACTTAGTGAATTAAAACATCACTTTGATTTATACATCCTTTACACATGTCAGCAGTTTTGGAGATCCAAAAAAAAAGTTCAAAGAAACTGCAGATGTTGAGTGATGTTGAAGGACATCCCTGGGGTCTGTGAGAGCGAATATCTAATAAATCTTTTAATGCCTATTTAACTATTAGGTTCTGAAATCCCAGTGAAACCTCGTAACAGTTTTCAGAACACAGCTTGAAGTGTGAGGATTTTTTCTTTAAAGAGGCAGTGCCACTCCGATATAGCCACCCTGTGTCACCTAGAACTTCTAAAATCTTGGTCCCTGTAAAGGTTTACTATGTCACAGATGCACTTATTCTTATTCCCTTAACTTCCCAACTTTGGAAAAAGCAAACCAGCTGTTTTTTTTTTTCCCCTGTGTTCCTGAGCATCCCTCCTACAGGTCATGGAACAGCGGACACAGATTCTACTACACATTCCTGTTCTCTAACAGTAAAAGAGCTCCCAGTGCTACTTAGTTGTTTCGTAATTGACTTCCAGTTGACCCTTACCATGTTATCTCACTCAATTCCTTACACTGTTCTCAAGCCCTAAACCCCAGCTCCTACCAACAGCCAGACAACGATTTCAGTTTCTTCTGCTTTGTTGTTCTCTACCTCCCCATCATCCAGGTAGGAACCTGTTAGGAATCTCGGATCTGTTCCTTTCTCTTATTCCTCATACTCCAGCCCAGGTTTTCCCCTCTTTTTTTTTGTCTAGTGCTTCTTATCTCCTTTTTCCTCCTATCTACTTTTTATTGTCTGGTTTTATACTTTATCATCTTACTCTTCAATTAATAGTCTTTCTTAAATTTTTCCTCCAAATATTTTTAGGAGCCAAAAAAAGAATCGGGATCATAGTCCTATAACCAGCGTATAGCAATAACTTTGCAGAAGTTTGGGGGTTGGGTTTTTAAATTTATGCAAATTTGACATTCTACTGAATAATGAATATACATTTTTTCATACAAAGTTACTAAGTAAGGTTGACACTCTAGTTAAGTGCAGCATGGATAACCCCTGGCTCTTGCAGTGGTGTGGCTAGTGTGGCATTAGAAATATGCTGGTCTCTCGGAGGATGGCGAAAGATGCACACTGTTAAAACATTTGCTTTCATTGGAAGTGCAGAAGCCAAGCCGCCCATTATCCATTTGATTGACCCTCGTGGGATTTAGTGGGAGAACCACATTCACATAGATCGTTCAGACAAAGAAAAGCTTTATATTAACATTAACTACTTTGTGTGATACATCTTGCATTTAAGAAACTAAGTATTTGCATAAAATATATCATAAAAGTGTAGTAAAGATTAGTCACAAAATTATGACTCTGCTTGTGTTTGTACAAAAATCATTAAGCACACTCTGTAGATATAGTTTAATCTGTGTAATTATGGAAACACTTCACGTACCTGTTTTTACTCAGAGCCACTTGAAATTAATATATAAGAGATGGGCTGTTCCAGTTTCAGTCTGTATCTAAGCTTTTTCCCCTTTGAGACAAACATTCACACACTGCTATAGCAATAGGGCAGCGGGGAGCAGCATGCTGTAGTAGGAGAACAGGACAATTTATGACAGAAGACTGGCCCTGCCAGACTCGTTTATTTACCCTGTGGCCTTTGGGCAAGTTGTTCACCTCACAGAGGTTCCATTTTATCACCAATAAATAGGGCTAAAAATATTTTATAGGTGACATTGTGGTTATGAAAGAAAAAATATATAAATATACATCTATATTAATTTAGGTGCATGCTGAAATATTTAGGAATAAAAATGCACGGGGTCTGAAAGTTGCTTTAAAATATTCCCAACAAATAAGGATGAAGAGAGAGGGGAAATAAAACTGGACTAAGTCAACACAGGTTAAACTGTTGAAGGGTATATGGAAGTTTGTTATACTCTCTACTTTTATGTATGAAAATGTTCACGATAAAAAGTTAAAACTATCTTATAGGTTGAGGTGTGTAAAGTCCCTGACATACAGTAATTACTAAAGAAATGTTTGTTCTATTCTTCAATATTTAATAGAGGAATTAAATATATATATGTATGTATATAAATATGTAAAATAATGTATAAATAAGATAATGCAACTTCCACTAGGAACTTCAATTTTAATAACCCTGACCCACTCTCAATTTTAAAGTCCCTGAGAAGGCTTCCCAGCCGTGGAGAACTTAACTCTGGAGGTTGAGGCAAGTCTACAGACCCTCTGGGACCTAGACTGACACCTCCAGTCTCTACAAAAATTCTTATAAAGCCCTCCAAGTCTCTTTCTCGGCCCTCTAAGTAATGGATATTTTGTGCTCACTTGCTAATCTTGAAACCAATACATCTATAAGACCAAGCAATCCATAACTATTAAGCCCTTACTAATTATATTGGGTTGGCCAAAAAGTCCATTGTGTTTTTTTCCATAGGATGGCTCTAGTAATGCTTAGTTGTCTTAAACTTCATTCAAAACAATTTTGTTAGACTGTATTGTGACAGCTATCATATCAGCATGTATTTAAAAAAACATCAAAATTGGTGAATTTTTATGCAGCCATTTTAATATTGAAGATGGAAGAAAATATGCAACATTTTTGGTATATTATGCTTTGTTATTTCAAGAAAGCTAAAAATGTAACTGAAATGCAAAAAAAAGATTTGTACAGTGCATGGAGTAGGCGTTATGACTGATCAAACATGTCAAAAGTGTTTTGCAAAGTTTTGTGGTACTATTGAGATTCTGGCAAAATAATTCTTTGCTGTGGGGCTGTCTTATGCACTGGGAGATGTTTAGCAGCTCCCTGGCATCTACCCACTAGAAGCCAATAGTGAGAGATAGCCTGTGTACTCAAAATATCCAAATCAATAAAGTAATTGGTGAAAATGAAAAATGCGTCTTTTATGGAAAAAGCATAATGGATTTTTTAGGCAACCAAATACATTTCTAGCCTTGCTTGGACTCATTTCTACCTGTTGAAGAATTTGTGATTGAGGTTAATGCTCATGCCTCTTCCTAAATTGTCCTGGGAACTACTTATTTTTCAGATTGAGGTTGTTGGGTAGGAGATGCTAAATATTAGTATTATCTAAAAGATATAAACTAAGTCAACCTTGCCCACCTTTTGACTTTTGATTCCAAAGACTTCTTCCTAGATTAAAAATAAACAGCAAATTTTATGTGCTTTCTATTGATTTGAAATGTTACCCATTTTTTACTAGAACTGAGTCTTATAAATTGGTCACTTACTAAAGACGCTGTTCTTATGTACCCAAATTTTAAACTGTCGAATGTCAGAATCAAAGTCGATAATTTTAAATAAACTATCTCCATTTATCTTAATATATATTTGACCCTTGAACAATAAGGGGGCTAGAAGTGCTGACACCCCCACCCCATGCAGACAAAAATTCATGTATTATTTTTAACTCTCCCCAAAACATAACAACTAATAGCCTACTATTAACCAGAGGCTTTACTGATAACATAAATAATGGATTAACACAAATTCTGTATGTTATGTGTATTATATACTATAGTCTTACAAGCTAGGGAAAATGTTATTAAGGAAACCATCAGGACAATAAATGCATTTACAGTATTTATTTTAAAAATTCATGTTGGAATGGACTCATGCAGTTCAAACCCATGTTGTTCAAGGGTTAACTGTAGTCAATTTATCATAAAGTATTATTATATATTTCAAAGGGGTCCATTCATATTTCCCCAATCTTACTACCACCACTCAATTTCAGGTCACCTTTAGTCACTATAGAAAGCCTCCTACGTTACAGCCTTTCTTCACTGATTATTTTGGAACTCATGGATTTAAAAACTAAAAATTTTTTCAAATGTCCTTTAACATCAGATCACTATAGGAAATATGAAATTCTATATTCTTCTCATTTTAAGCAGGATACATCAATCATTCCCTAAATAAGTATATTTATTTTCCAGCATGGCCAATCCAGTCATTTTAGCCATCTTCCAGAACAACACCAGTCACTCTGGCCAAATGAACTATTCCAATTTGACACCTTCTTGGAGAGGGCTGAAATAATCCTGACGTCCTCTGCATGGCTTTTATGTGACACTAATATTGCACTTGTACTGTAAAATTATGTGTTTACATGTACATTTTCCCTACTTTGTTGTATATTCCTTGATTTGTGTCTTTAAAAAATTTTTTAAATCATGAAGTATTTCCAAATTCTCTTCTCTCCACAGTACCTGCTAGGCACTAGGTGCTTAATAAAAATTACTGAATTGATGATTGAGCACATCAATACATTCATGCCGTGTATCTATATGCAATGATAGCTGATCAAAGGCTTAGTAGTTATAGAGTTTGTTTCCAACCATTTTGTTTTCTTGACAAAATTTAGTGAGAAATGTTTAAATTCTAGGAAGTATTAATATCTCGCTTTTGTTTGCGCATTCATGGAATATAAGTGGTGTCTGGCACTTTGTCAGGCACCGGGAGGAATACAAAAGTAATGAAATGTGTAGTACTTACTCTTAAGTTGCTCAAAGCCTGGACAAGAAGAAAAGATAAAAATGTCCAGCCCTAGGCAAAACTGAGGAATAGTGAAGTTTTCTTTGGCATTCCCAAAGCTACGTCCTTTCCTCGAGTTAAGGTATGAATAGGTAGGTAATCATTCTTCCTGAATACACTCCTTGAGCAAAATCTGGTAGAATTGAGCATGCTCTAACAAATTATTTCTACCACTTCGGTTAACTCAGCTGGTACTGCCTAAGTGAGGCCTGGGCTTCTGTTCCCAGGAAGGAGTTGATCTTGGCTTCACCTTGCTTGATAGCTTTGGAAACCACAGGGCCAGTCAGTAATCAGTCCAAGCACCATCCCATAAGAAAACAGGAGAAAGGGTTGATGACTGAGTATAGAGAATGAAAGAAGGCAAAACACTCCAGGAAATAGAAAGGAAGTAGTGGATGCAGAAAATTATTTGAAACTTCCTTATTAGTAATCGACATTTGTTATAAGAGAATTCTTTCATTTTTAACAAATAAAAAGGCTTAATTTTTATACAAGGATTAAGTTATAAATTCCATATTTTCCTGATAAAAAATTAAGGTATATCTAGCAATAAACCCAAGATGAGTGATTTGATACTTTTTTGTTTTCCTAAGGGGGGAAAATGCACTTAATTTTTTCTCAGAATGAAGATTTACAAATAAGAGAAGCCCTGTTCATTGTACTTTAAAGTGAATAATTTTCCTCAATTTATTTTTGTCCTTCCACTTTTTTAAAAGGAATTTAGGGCAAAGTCCAGAGAATGGGACAAGCAAGAGATACTGTATCAGACTCATCTGGTTTCTTTAGATGCTCAACAGAAAGTATTGTCTGAGAAGTGTAATCAATTTCAGGTACATTATCTAATTCTACCCTGAAAATTAGAATAAATTAGAGGTTAAATATGACTGTCTTTGCCATTCAGCACATAATCTTCTTACAAATAGAAATGCCAACTAACATAAAATAACCAGAATAGGTCCAGCTTTGGTTTTAAAGTCATAAGCACATGAGACATCTGTAATGGTGAGTTTAGTCTGCATGTCTCAAAGGATGGTGTTATTAAGTGTCCACTGTAAGTAGCACAGGTTTTTGCACGCCTGTGGGCAAGTCACTTAAAAAGTTGACAGTTGCTTGGTCCCTGCATTCAAGACCAATAAAACCTAGACATTGAGATAATACATGTCCTGATTTACAGGTAATAATAACGAGTGAATGGAAGGGATCCAAATCCTTTTAGAAGTCAAGGAGTAAGAGAAAAATTTGGACTCAACCAGGAAGCATCCTCCAGCCGGGGTGGGACTGGGCCTGACCTTGGAGAATGGGTATGTTGTGAGACAAGGGAGAATGTAGTCTAGGTGGTGGAAATAACACCGGCAGAGTCACTGAGCAAGAGAGCAAAAGGCAAATTCTGGAAATGGAAAATGGGTCAGTTGGCTGGTAGTCCATGTGGCAGGTGGGAAAGGGTAGGTGGTAAGCCTAGGGAATTGGATACAGCTTGTAATAAGCCTTTAACACTTGGCTAAAGAATTTTGAATTTTTATTAAAGCAAGTAAGAAACTATTGTTTGGTTGTTATACTTTTCATTCTCTCTTTAAGTTACTTGAGTTATATGTCATACATGTTCCCTGAATTCAACAATACAAAACAATTTGATGTAAAATTAATACTCTTATCGCTTTCCTCCATTTTATCCATTTAATATAAACACTGTTGACAGGTGTTTATCTTTACTACCTTTTCTTTTGTTTGTACAAACATGTAAAAAATATATTTGTGTGGAAGTTGCATATTTTTTCTATTAAAAAGTTTTTACTTAATAATAATCCATGGATATCTTTTTGAGTTACTACATAAAATTCTACTTAATTCTGCATAGTATTTCATAGAATATAGTAGATACACCAGATATACCATAGTATATAATAGATGTACTATAATTGTTTTATCATTTTCTTATTGATGCACATTCAGGTTGTTTCCATTTTATGCTATGGCAACATTATAACAAGTATCATTGTATGTACACATTTAAATACCGATACTTTTCTATTGTTAGATAGAAATTCTAGAAATAAGAATGCATTTTGAGCCATAGGATATGTCCATTCAAAGCTTTAATAAATACTAGCAGATTAGTACTTCAAAGGTTATAGTACTTTACAATTCATGAGTAGGTGGTAGGAATTACCCATACCCTCCCCAGCATAGAATATTACAAGTCTTTTTTACCAACTTGTTGGACTAATAGTAATATTGGTTTGATTTGCTTTGTATTCTGACTGTTTATAGGACTGAACATCTTTCTGTATTCTCCCAAGCCTTTTTCATTTCCTCTTCTGTGAATTGCCTATTCATAAACTTTGCCCATTTTTCTTTCTTGTTGTTTATTTTTTCATATTGATGTGTAGAAGTTTCTGTACAGAGGAATTATTAACCCTTGTTCTGTGTGTTGACAACTTTTTTCTACAATTCACTTGCCTTGTGTCATTTTGTTTATTTTTGGTTGTAGAGACATTTTCAACTATTGTGTAACTGAATCTATAATTTTACTCTTTTTATATGTTCAAGATTTTCTTTCTTGTAAATAAGAAATTCCTACGCCAAGAGCTCTGCCCTACTCTACATCTTTTCTTTGAGGTTATACAAATATATTTTCTTTTTATGTCATCTAAAATTAAGGTTTTAGAATAAACACAAGACTGAATAATAGAGGGTAATGCTTCATTACCTAATAATGTATTTAAAGGTGTTTTTATAATTGTTTTCTATTATTCTTGAACTTGATTAAGCTTAAACACAATAGTCTCCATTTAACTGACACAATTTTTATATTTCTCAGAGACAGGCACAAAGTTACCAAACTCAGCTAAGTGGTAAAAAACAGTGCATAGAAGAAGACAGCAGCTCTGACATTCCTCAGCTGACATGCGAATTAGATCCTAGTTATGAAACCAGTGAGAGAGATGAGTTCATTATTGAAAAATTAAAGTCAGCTGTGAGTGAAATGGCGCTAAGCCGGAATAAGTTACAAGATGAAAATCAGAAGCTCTTACAGGAACTGAAAATGTACCAAAGACAGTGCCAGGTGAATATATATTTATTTTTCAACTGATATTGCCCATGATTTGTATAAATGATAACAGTTATATGCATCAGAAGGCTAATTTTATATTACATATGTAAATTCAGCTCGTATTTCCTCTTAATAACTAGTTCCCACTTGATGAGTACATCTATTAAACCCATAGGTACTTTACCCACTAGAGTGCACTGAGGCTCTGCAGTGGCAGGACAACAGTGGATTCCCAGTGCAGTATCACAGAGGTCACTTAGGACCTTTAGACCTAAAATCCATGGCCCTTTAACCACACACCCACCTCTGTCCTCACTATTCATTCTCTAACCCTGTGCCTCTTTGACTTGCAGGAATCCTGGGTTGGAGATCCAGGAATTTAGTAAGGGCTCAACACTCTAATGACCTCAGTGAGAAGTGTGAGGGTCACTCCCCATGATTTGGCATTGTTAACCTTACCATAATCACTTATCCAACAGTAGCCTTGAGTTTTTTGTTTGTTTCTTTGCTAGTGTTTTGTTAACTTCCATGTTGGTAGATGGGATTGATGGTTGTTCCAAACACTAATTTCTTAACTTGAAAACATCTTTTCTTTCTACTACTTGCAACTGCTGAAGATATGTAGCATTCATCAAAATTGCTCATTACAATTTCTTTACTAAATATGTATGTCTTATTCATGATATCCCAGCTACCAGAGATATTTTATGGTTTTATTGCCCATTCTAGGTCTCACTTTCCACCTACAAACATTTAGCTTCTTTCCTCCATTGGCCCACTTTATTCACTGTCTGCGCAGGCTTTCATTCACTTCTCTAAGATATTCCACCACAAGATCTTCTGCCACTTAAACTTCCAGGTTCTTTATTAGCCTTAGGCCAACTCCTCATCCCCGCATCCTGCTACATAACATGGATTATAATCCCATTCTATAGAATGGGATTCGTCCTTTAATTTCTCTCTCCACCAGCATCTAGTCTTCTGTATTCCCTTCCCCAAGTTTGCAAGGGGGCAGATCACAAGGCTCCCAGCTTCTTGAGACTATTCTGTGACATTTCTAAGAGAAGTACCTCTCCCCCATCCCAAATTCTAGCTCTGTTGGGGAGGGATTTTTATTCTGATATAAATTAGAATACAGATGTAAACAAACAAAACTAAACCACAAATACTAAACACCGAGGAAGGCATAAATTTTGTAGACAGAAAAGGTATTGACGTTTTCCCTGCCTTCAATATGGTAATCTTGTAAACGAGATTAGCTCTTATTCCTCCTCTCCAGGTTGTCTAGGCGGTGTCTGGTGTTCAGCTCACCAGTCAGTCTACCCAGTCCTGTGCAAGCTGGGTTTTCATGATTGCTGGTGTTCTGATGTGATTCTCTCACGCTCAGAGACTGCTTTCCATTCATCTCCCTGGGTCTGGAGCAGCTGGTCATGCCTCTGGCCCCGATTTAAAGACAACTTAAATTTTTGTTATGCAGCTGTCTTTGTACTGCTGGAGCCTGCACTGAGGTCAGAGTCAATAAATAAAGAGATTACTTTTCTGGATGCTTTCTGAATATTCTCCCCCAGGTTTTGGGTTATCCTATACACACAGAGAAGTTCTCTTTGTCTCTTCTTAAAGACTTTTGGGCTCTGGTCCCTAGAAATCTTTAGTTTGCCTGAAACATATTTCATAAGTCTGGTTCTACCCTTCAGTAAGGTTCAACTTCTTCAGTAACATAGTTTCTCTTAAACACCCCCAAAAGAATTCTGTTTGGACCTGTTACAACATCGAAGAATATTCTCTTCCATAGCCTGAGCTTCAGCTCTTGGGCCTTGGCTGACATGTAGAATAGAAATCTCTGCTCTTACATCATATTCTAGAAAGATGCTCTGTTGCCCTTTTTGGGAAGCATGGCTGACTTTCTCTCTGTGATGCTTTCCTTGAGCAATCTCACCTTTCTGCTTCTCAGAACTGGATCATTTCTATTTCTCCGGGAAGTAATTTGGAAATTTTTGTTAAGAGAAAGAATGTTAGAAACAAAGGAAGAGTGCACATTGGAAACATTAAAAAATTAACATTCCCACTTCAGATTATAAGTTCTACCCTGTCTCCAAGTAGATATTTTAAACCTGTCTGCTCACACTTACCACACTGACATGCCCTTATTGACAAGAAGAGAGAAAGTGTGTCCTGAAAGTCTGAACAGGTAGCAGGAAGTTAGAGAACTCAACCCCTCGAGTGCCCAAGGCCACCCTGTCTTTTAGCAATATCCTCCAAGTAGTTGACTTACCCTCCTCACCCAAGGTCAACAGGCTATAACTCACCCCTCATCCCAAGATTTACACAAACTTCCAGAGCCTCACATGTATGCCTAAGAAGGCTCTCTGGGTTGTCTGGGCTGAGGAAAGTCCATGTTACATACTTTGACTTTTCCTTATGTATACATATATATATTGGTGTATTTAATAAGTTATTAAATGCCCCTGAATATATTCTAACAAAATAAAAACCCAGCTATTTATAGAAGTCAATATAAGTATGAAGTATATATGTATTGATATTTATACTAAAGTTTATAAAATAACTATTAATTGTCTAATTGCTATAATTTTGTTTTAAATCAGTGCTTCTTTTCTGGGGTGATTTTGCTCCCAGATATCACTTGGTGATACCTGGATAAGTTTTGGTTGTCACTACAAGGGAGAGTGGTATGAATGTCATCTAGTGGGTAGAGGCCAGGGGTCACATCCTACAATGCACAAGACAACCCTTAGTAAAGAATGATCCAGACCAAACTGTCAATACTGCTAGGTTGAGAAACTCTGCTTTAAATTTTTTAATGTTCCTTTTCTCATATTTTTCACCAGTAATTTTCTAACTTTACTATTTAATGTTTTCTATAGTTAGTGATAATCTTAGTGATAAATATAACCATTACTGATTTATTATCCACCAATTTCTAAGAGAAAGTTACTTTTACAAATATTTGTTCATTTCAAATATAATTTAGTTAACCTTGGATCTAGGAACATTATGAATGTTAAACTAAGGATTTTCATTTTTCTTTAACAGAAGAATTGCATGTGTTAAAATATAAATGAATTTTTTGGAATATGTCACATACATGCACACATAATTTAATTCTAATGAAAAGATTTTTGAGAAGTAATTTGGTTCAAAAAATTCAATATAAGGTCTCTATTCCCAGAAAAACACTATTTTTGATGCATTTAGAAAAAAATGCTGAAAATAATGCTTTCATTTGGACATGTCTCTGTTTTATTTCCTAATTTTACTTGTGCTTCATTCTTTTGCTTTAGCATAAATAAATATTAAGTGATAAGATATCAAGTATTTACTGTTTGATAGATAATTTGAAGGTTTAAAATCACAGCTTCTCTCAAACCATTAGGCAAATTTGTAACTAAACAGATGGACCCCAAACTTGTTTTACAAAATTTATATTTTACACAATGGGAATAATTAGAGGTAAATAATCACTGTAACCAGTGTGTGTATTTAGAAAGAAGTTTCTCTTTTTTGTGAAACTGTAATGTGACAGTGTTGCACAGGAATTTAAAAAGTGTTCCATTTCCATCTGAATTACTGTCAGTTGTTGTATATAAAATTCGCTTTAGTTTACAACACACTTTAATGCCACATGCATCTGAATTTTCACGAGTCACATCTTCTCACCCATCCCTTTACAACTTTGAAATATGTCATTATACATATAAATTTCATTGCACATATTTAATCACTATGCTGCACTACACTCACATGTATAAAATACGTGGTGCTTCCCATTGGAGATTAATGACAAATAAAATTGCTCTGAATTTTTTCAAATATCTATGCTCAAAAAAATCTTGACCTTTTTTGTTTGTTTGTCAATGTGTCATTAAGTACTAGAGCAACACTCTGCAGTAGAAATATAATGGAAACCACAAGTATAATTTACATTTTTCTAATAGCCACATTAAAAAATTAATACAAATGGGTGAAATTATTATGTAATAGTAGTATATTTTGTTCAATACAACATATAACTAAAGTATTATCATTTCAACATGTTTAATATAAAAATTATTCAGATATTTTACATTTCATAATAAGTCTTCAAAAGCTGGTGTGTATTTTACACTTAAAACATATCTCAATTTAGATATGAAGTATTCATCAGAAATACCTCATCTGTTCTTAGAGCTCATATAAATCACAGTTAAAAAAGTAGATTTACATAACCAAGTTGTTCCAAATAAACTTGAAAGTGTTCCAGTAGCTAAAATACATACTGAAGAATAATTTTCCTGAATATTTGCATCCACATTGAAAATAATTGATTTAACTTTCAGGCAAAAACATGCTGGTTTTAAAACTACATATAACTTAAATTCGATAATTCTTAGATCAACTCAATATTATTAACAACTCTCACTTTATCGATATCAACACAGCCTCTTTTATATTCCATTTACTTACTGCTGTCATTATAATTAAAACTTTGCATATCTAGTCATATTAGAAAAATGTATCAAATTGTTACTATTGATTTGTATTATAAAGATTTTCAATTTCAACATAAATCCTTTTACTTATATAGCTAGATCACTAATAAGTTTTTTTCCTTAATGATGGGGATGTCACTCTTATAGGTATTATTTCCATTAACAGTAAACAAAAAGACCCCTTTGTTACTACAGTTTACAGAATTTCAAATTTGCACTAGCCCACAGTGACACCACATTTCATTGGCTTGGAGTTAGAGCCCGTGTGGCCCCACTCCCCTGAGTGAAGGCATATTTCCACTCTTCTACACACAGCTTCATGGTAGATGGCTCCCTGGTGGTGAATTTGCAAACAAGGAGCCCTGATAGTGCCTTCTTTAATTGGCCAAAATAACGGATGACATTCACATCAAATTAATTTGTGTTACTATTTGCTAATCTATTGTTTCACATTTCTTTTGTTTATTTTGAAATTTTAACCTCATCTAAAAAATCCCTCTCTTTAAAACAGGCACTTTACCCAAACAAATCTTTATCCAAACAAGTCTATTAAATCACCTATTTGAATATACTTTTAGACTTACCTCCAAGACAGCCAGGAACTTCTGGAACTAAAATACTGCAACTAGGTCCTTCAATAAGCCCAGGTCTCTAGGTCTCCTGGAAAAAAATGTATATTTTAAGGCTTTCATTAAAAAGGTTATCTGGGAACTCATATGTTCTATACTGTCTACATCATTAAATTTTGAAGCTTCATGAATTTTGGGAAAGAATTAATGAATAAGGAAATATATATCCACATATATAAGCTCATACATGTATTTTCAAAGCAGTATTATTTCATAATAGTAAAAAAAAGATATACCCAAATATCCATTAACTGATTAATAAATACAAAAATGTGGTATACCCATACAAATCAATATTATTTATCAATAAAAAGAAATGGCTCTGATCGCCTAACACAGGTTGGAGCATTGTCCTGTACACCAAAAGTCTGCAGGTTCAACTCTCGGTCAGGATGCATACCGAGGTTGCAGGTTTGATCCCTGGTCAGAATGCATATCGAAGGCAACCGACTGATCTCTCTCTCTCTCTCTCTCTCTCTTTCTCCCCCACTCAACCTACCCCCACTTTCTCCTTCTCTAAAAATCAATAAACATGTCCTCAGGTGAGGATTAAAAATTTATAAAGAAATAAGTAAAAGGAAATGAAGTACTGGTGCATGCTACAACTTAAATAAAACTTAAAAAACATTATGCTTAGCAAAAGGAGCCGGTCATAAAAGGCCACATAGTATATGACTTAATTTGTATGAAGTGTCTAGAATATGCACCATAGAGATAAAACATACCTTAGTGGTTGCCAGGGGCTGGAAGGAGAGAAAATGTGGAGTGACCGTTAATGGGTATTAGGTTTATTTGGGGAGTAATAAAAATGTAGTGGAATTAGATAGTAGTGATGAATCACAAATTTGTGAATATACTAAAATTCACAGACTTGTATGCTTTAAATGAATTAATTTTAAATTATGTAGATTGTACTTGAATAAATTTATTATTCAATATATATCAAGATTCTTGAACAAATGACTTTAAAAAATATCTGTAAGGGTTTCTAAAGCCTGTGTTAGTAGAGAAACCTCCTGCCCTCTGAACACCCTGCCCTGTCTTTACCAATAAACTACAGGTCTACTGCACCCACCTAAGTGAGAAACGAGTTCCTTCCCGTCTTGAACGTTCTAGCTAGACTACTAGGCAAAAGATCTGGATTTCCATTCTGAAGTCTGCCAGTTATGAGCTTGTAACTTTAGATCAAGTCTGGCCCTCAACTTCCTCATCTGTAAAAATGGCAATGGGTTTAATGAACAGGGTGAGGCACACTTACTAAATACTAGTTTCCCTGTGTAATTGAGTGTCAGAGACATGATGAGATAGAAGGACTCGGCCCTTCCTTTCTCCCAGAGAACAGCCAACTACTGCTAGAGAAAATCACTCAATAGATCATGGTCACAAACCTCACATGACACCTCGACACTGCCAGGAATCCCGTGCTGCTCCAATCAGCTAGCTCCCATTCTCAGCACAGGTCATTTCAAATCCTTTTCACTCTAAAAATAACTCTCAAACCCCACCTCCACCTGCCTTCCACCATCAACACCTGACATTGCCTTTTTGTTCACAAGGAAAATAGAAACCAGCTGGTAGCCCCTGTCTTATCACCTCATATGCACATGCATGAACTTGGCTAGGTTCCATCTCCCTTCTTTCCTTTTGCAAAAGAAGGCCTCCCTTTTGCTTTAGGCAATATTTCCACTTGTGCTTCGGAACCCTCCCATCCACCTTCTCAGGATTCTGACACCATCACTGTTACCCCTTCTCTCTCCTAATAGATCTTAAATTTGCCCAAGTCTCTCCTGCTAACAAAGTAAAACACTAAACTCACAGGATTGCTGGTGTTTCTAGTTATCATCAGCTGAAGTGCTGGGCTGCTATTGGACAATAGTGGAACCATGATTTATCAATTATATTGTTGGCCAGCTTTAAAATTAGATTTTTCTTGGCTATTATCAGGTTTAATTTGGGAATTATTTGCATTAATCTAAATTTTATGCATTGATATTTTATTCATATTTTGATGTTTTCCTCCTTCAAAGTTACATACAATGTGGCCATCTTTGTGTGATTATTTGATTACTCTTTGTCATTATCACTAGACTGTCAGCTCATTGAGGACAGATTCTATGTCTCTATCCTTGGTGTTGAATATATAATAACTTAGTAAATATTTGTTGAATAAATGAATGAAGAAAGGAAATTCTATAAGACAGAGCCAGCAAAGGGCTATCAGTTCATCTGAAATTAGGCTGGTTCATAGATGTTAAGCATTTTAAAATGTATTATTATACATCATGATATCCAAATATGAGCACTGAAATTTTTTTTTTATTTAGGCCATGGAAGCAGGACTCTCAGAGGTGAAAAGTGAGTTACAGTCACGTGATGATCTCTTGAGGATTATAGAAATGGAACGATTGCAGTTGCACAGGGAATTACTAAAAATAGGAGAATACCAAAATGCTCAAGAAAATAAAAAAAGGTATATTCTTTATATTCAGCAGCCTGAAACTGCTCAAAATATGGTTTTTGACTTTTTTATATTTGAAACTAGAAGTAAAAGTCTTTTTTCTATTTATATGCTGTTAATTATTAGATATTAGATACTAAAATAAAATTGATGATTATTTTATTTTAAAAATTAATACCTTTACTTACCTAGAAAATTATATCATGTTCTGATCTATGGAAACTGAGTTATACTGAGTCAGAAATTTTTTAGAACTTTTGTTCTTTAGGATATTGCTAAAATAATACTATAGAGCTGATATTTAATTAAATAAGACTTATTCCATATTTTTGAAACGCTTTCATTTTGATTGCTTGTAAACCTGTTAACTTTTTCACCTATAAATGTTGTACTCATTTTGGTCTCCACACTCACCACCTTATCATTTCCATCAAGGGTTTTGTTAGAACATATTTTTTCCTCTTTCAAAATTAGATAGATATTACATATTCCATAACCACATAAACATTATTGTTTCTGCTTGTGAATGAATGGTGTGACTATTCCAACCATTCGCTGATGTTTCCTAATTCTCATTAGAACTTGAGTCCTTATCATATCTGAAGGCCAATGACAGACCAATGACAGGGTTTTTAAAATTGAATAGCCAAATTGCGAGGAATATTTTATTGAAAGATGATTACATTGTTTTAAAGGTAATAATCCCTTCTTCAAAGTTGTGGTACTTGCTAGCATTTCCTTGAGGTTTACCCTTTATAAAAAGTAGCAAATTAAGGTTTTTAAAAATTATTGTCTCAGTTATAAAAGTTTTTTTGGAAAAAATGACCTATTGTATGTCTCACCAAGGGTGGTAGAATCCCTATGAGACAGTCAGCATTAATGAGTGCTCTGGATACAAGCTATGTACCATCATCATCAGTCATTAATAAATCTGTTGGAAATATATTACGTGCAAGGCACTGTTTCAGAGTAGTGAGTTGCTGAGAAATGTCCTCAAAGAAAGAATATATACACCTAAAAGCATAAATTTCCTTAGAGAGCCAACCATTCAACTACATCTCTTTTTATTTTTGTGAAAAGTGTTATAGGTGCTTTCTTTTTTTTTAAGATTTTATTCATTTATCTTTAGAGGGGAAGGGAAGGAGAGAGGGAGAGAAATATCAATGTATGGTTGCCTCTTGTGCATCCCCTGCTGGGAACTGGCCTGCAACCAGGGCATGTGCCCTGACTAGGAATTGAACCGCGATCCTTTGGTTTGCAGGTCCACACTCAATCCACTGAGCTACACCAGCCAGGGCTGTAGATGCTTTCTGTGGAGCCATTTCACAAGGCCAATGCTGAATTCCAAACAGTACCAATTGTCCTTTGATACATGATTTAACTTAAAGTCTTACAATTATTTGCATATTTGGCCAACACAACTCTTTTGTTATGCCTAGTTGCCATCCTCTATTTAAGTTGGTACTTATTTTGGTCTCCAGACTACATCTTTCCCATTTGGAGGGTATTACTCAGTTCTAGTATTCTGAGATTGGATAAGCCGATATTTGACTTTTCACAGCTTCCATCGTATTTTAGATGTTGGGCATAGTCTTCTCAACCTTCCTCTTTCCCATTGCAAGTTTCTAACCCTACTTTGCTTTTATGTGCACGTGGTTCTGCTTTTTATATTCTTTTGGTTTCTTTTGTTTAGATTTTGTTTCTTCTTTCTAATTGTGTTCAGGTGAAGCAGCCCAGACTACTGAATGCATACAGTAGTTTTATAGTAGTAGCATTGTAATATTTTTATTCATTACCAGAACTTTTCCCAATAATGCTAAGCTTTTTCTTTCCTTTTTTTTTCAGTTGTAGCAGCTCCTTGGGATGATATGTTCTGAGTTATTTAAAATAATTCCAACACTCCTTTCCTACATGACAAATGATAGTTTCCTGATGTTTTATATTACCCTCTTACATTAGCATAACTATTGTTCTCTTCTATGAACTTGTCCACATTGAAGTTTGATATTTGTTCTGTTCACTAACTTAAATTTACAAGATCATCGTGAGGTTCTTAACCATTCAGTTCGGCATTCTGGTCCATAAAATTGCTTAGGAAAAATTGAAAAAAAAGAAATTTCATTTTCACCTCTTCCAAATCATAGCGAGTAAGAACATTTCAAGGTTGGTCTTGAAATAATGTTTTAGGAGAATAATGGGTAAAATGCTTACAATGTGTTACTGAGTGGAAAACAAAAAAAAGACTGAAAAATAATATGTAAAGTACATTCTGATTGTATGAGGAATGTGTATGCATTTATAAACACTCATAGGGAAGAAAGACAATATACACAAAAATGCTGACAATGTTTTCCTTAGAGGACATTGTAGCAGTATATATTCTTATATACTCTGTTTTCTATACTTAACATATATTTGATAACAAATATATTTGTTAACAAATATTAATATTAATATTAATATTCGTACCTTTTTTAAGATCTTATTTTTAATTTTTAAAAATATTTTTTTAATTTATTTTTACAGAGAGGGGAAGGGAAGAAGAGAGGGAGAGAAACATCAGTGTGTGGTTGCCACTCATGTGTCCCCTACTGGGGACCTGGCCTGCAACCCAGGCATGTGCCCTGACTGGGAATTGAACCAGTGATCCTTTGCTTCACAGGCCCATGCTCAATCCACTGAGCCACACCAGCCAGGGCTAGATCCCCTTATTTATAGTCTCTTCATTAGTTATTTTTCTATTATAACTCAGATGGGAAGGGGTGTTTGTTTATATGATTTAAGGTTTTTATTTGTGTAACCTTTTAAAAAGTTCTTCAAATCTAAAATTGTACCTACTCATAAGTGGGCACCTGCTTCAAAACTCTGGACTCTACCTATTAGTCAGGCAATAGGAAGCATTCTGCTTTCTTTGCCTAGTTATATTCTTTTTTCTGTTTTAATTTTTATTTTACCAACTTCCCTGGTGTAAACATTACCTGCTTATACTTCTCCATGCTTCCTATGGAAACTATACTTTTTATATTAGTTCTCTGTTTCTCCTCTTTAGTATCTATATGTGGTTGCCATTCCATTTTATAAGTTGAACAGCCAAAAAATAGATACAGTTGAGCTCTCTCGGGTAGACTCTCAGAGCCAGGCATGTTTGGAACACTTTTACGGAATGGTTTCTCCTTAGACTTCTCCTGACGTACTTTCTTTCCATGATGCGGAAGCAACTCAGGTCTGTTTCCTTTTTTGAATGCGTTCCCAAGCCATTTTATTGTAGGAGACAGTCTTCTCTTCTTATACAAAAATCTTATCTTCATATGCAAACCTAGTATGCTGCCAATTTTTAATGTAAAATTAAATTCCACATTAATTACTACCTGGGTTTTTTTTCTAAAGTCATTTACACTCGGTTAAACAGGTAATTAGTTAAGGGATTTGAATGTATTATAACTTGCAGTTTCTGTACCTAGAAATGTTTCCAACACACTAATAATCTATCTCTGTTCTCTACAATGGCCAAAATTAACAATATAATCCTAACAATTTATCAAATTAAGCTTGATTTTTACTCATTTGAATTTGTAGATTTGAATCCCCTTATTCGCCTTATATTAAAGAACCAGAAAGGAAAAAGCAAGGGCTGCTTTCAGTGACCCCAGATCAACCAAATCATGAAAAAGAATTGAATAAGGTATGGAAAATAATGCTCTCCATTCTTCCAGGCAGATCTGAAGTCTTTAAATACAAAGGGGGAAAGCATCTTCCTCTCACTCCCTTCTTTTTTCCTTCTATATTTTCTCCAAGCTGCTAAAATTGACATTCTTCTGTGTGATGCTATAAAAACCACAGGCTTTAGGATATCGCTCTGCTATGGGGAGAGCATGTGAAACTTGGAGGGCCGTGGCTCCATGAAAGGTAGCTTAGAGCAAGAAGCATGAGAGAGAGCACAGACTTGGACACAGCCATATGTTATGCTCATAAGCTTGGGGAAGTTGCGTATGCAAGTTGCTCGGGGTCCCTGTTTCCAGGATGGGGATGGGATAATTAGTACCTGCCTCATAAAGTTGTGATGAGGGTTTAATGAGAAGTAAATAGCTGCTACTTAAATAGCACTTACCATGTGCCAAGGAGCTGTTCTAAAACCTTAACAAGTCTTAATTCGTGTATTCCTCACAACCATCTTATAAGGTAGGTACTAATGTTATCCTCTTTTAATTATTTGAGGAAATGAAGGCATAAGAAATTTAGGTAATTTTTTCCAGTATTGTCAATTTAATCTGGCAGAAGCTGGATTTAAATCTAAGCAATCTGGCTCCAAAGCTCATATTCTTCTCCTACGTTAAAATCCATAAAGTGTGCATGTGGAGTCCTTAGAGTAGGGCCTACCCACTTCAGAGGGAGCTCCTACAACATTGACTGCTGTTGTTATGGGTCACACTCACATTTTGTCACCGAGCACCTAACATGTGCCAAGTGCTCTCCCAGGAGCTAGAAATACAGGGAAGAATAAGACCTGGTCACTGTGGTTCTCAACTCCGACAAAAAGTATATTCTCTTCTCTCTCTAGGAAATCCAGTATTATTTTCCATGAGTTTATCAGTCTACTACACCCTTCTCTGGTCCTTCAGGTTTGGTCACACAGAATACTCAGTGTCATATAATCTAAACAATTGTTAAAAGCAGGAAAAATTTATGTTTAGGAGGGTGTGGCTTTGAATTACCATCTAGTGCCTGGTGCAGTGCCCGACATACAATAAGTGAAAGCAAATATTTAGAGAATAAATTATTATTAAGGCTAAGGTCCCCCATAATTATATGGGGTCATAACTTCAATTATTGTTTATAGAAATTCAACAAACATTTATTAAGCATCTAGTGGAACTATTGGCTATTCTGCTTATTTCTGCAGGAAATATGATTATGTAAAAGATAAATCCTGACTCCCAAAGTGTTCACTGTCAGGCAACTATTAAGTGTAGAAAAGGTGATGTAAGTTAATGACCATTTTTCTTATATTTTTCACATAATCCCATAAAACTAATTTTACTGATAGTTAAAAATATAACTTTAAAACACTGTTCTTTACGGTGTCCCTAGTGAATGTGTTATGATAAAATGTTGATTAAGACCACCTAGAGTATAGTTATACTGTTCTTAACCTCATAGACTTAGAAAGAATAATAAAACTTTGAGTAATACCAGGAATATACTGATTTTGCACAGTTTCGACATGAAAGGAGACAATACAAGGCACAAATCTCTTTATAGGCTCTTGGAGACCTCTAGATAATGCACTGCTGTGCAAGAAAAGGTAACAAATGAATTGTGCGTTAACAGCGATAGCTTCCAGGACTTCTTTGTGGAGAGCATTTTCATTCTCTTGTAATAAAAGCAACAAGAGCCATGTATTATATATCTTCTTTTTTCAACATAGAACTATTTTTAGTCATTTCTTTGTTATAAAATTGACATTTTTAATAAAGCCAAAAGTCATTTGCAGCTAGGCAAATTAATCTCATTTAGAAGGAAGTTTTGCAGCATATGGCACACTGCTTTAATAACTAAATGTTGTGAAAATAACACAAAGAGTTTACTCCATCTTCACAATAGCATATTCATCTTCTAGCATTTGGTAAGTTTCATTTTCAGAAAATATGTAAACTATACCTCAGGGATGCAAACAGCAAAATTCAAACTGGAACCAACTAGAGGACAACCCAATATTTTCATCAAATTATAAGAAAAAAATCTGGAAGAAGATTGGAGGTGAAAGGAGACTAGTAACATTGTCCTCAGGGTGAGGATATTGTACTTCACTTTCCTAGTCTCCTCTTTTGCTAGTAGCAGATGCATAACTTAGACTCAATCAGTTCCCTGCTCTGTGAGTCTTTATTTTTTCTGTTAAATGATGGGGTTAGACCATGTGATTTGTAACGTCATGTACAACCCTGAAATTATGAAAGTGTTAGTAGTAAGAATATAGTCAGATGAGGTAGTATAATGCCTGAGGTCGAGTTTGCCTGCTGGATGTCTGAAATTTCCATGTCAGGTGATCCCAACATGTGAACCATCTTCTAGGGCTCTGCTCTCAGAGGTTATACAGCGCAGTGTGTAAGGTCCTGGAATCAGACTGCCTGCCACCAGGAATGTGACTATGAGCAGTTATGGGAACTCAGATTTCTCACCTGCAAAGTGGAGAGATGTATGGGGATTAAATGAGATGATGCATGTAGACTCCTTAGAACACACACAATCACATACAAAAAAAGACACTTTGAAAAGATACAACCTAGTTGCAGTGTGTGGCTCATATTTAGATCTCAATTCAAATGAACTTTAAAAATTTCATTCTGATACAATTTTAAATTTGAATACTTCTTGCATATTTGATAATAGTGAGGAATTAAAGTTAATACTTTGAAGACACTATAGTGGTATAATAATCTGGCTATGTTCAAAAAAGAAAGAGAGCGGATACCCTTGTTCTTTCAGAGATATATCCTGAAGAAACAAATCTACTTTAAAAGTAAGTGGCCTGGGTACATTCATACATGCCTCTTGTGGATGGCTTCTAAGTAATTCTCTGGCCCCATTTCTCACAACATGCTAGGTAGGTCCCAGCCACTCCGAACTCCTTTTGGTTCACTGAGTGTGCATTCACCCCTGTGCTTCGGCTGCCCTGTTTTCCTAGGAGCCCTTCTCCCCTCTGTTTTCCACACAGCTTCCATTTATTCCTCAATATTTGGTCTGATGTCTGCTCCTCTGGGAATCCTATCCTGACATCCCAGGCTGGGTTAAGTACCCCCTCCACTGGATAAAGCTGACATTGATTGCTACACCGTCTTATAACTGTTAACTTCCTGTTTTCCCCAATGAACTATGACTTTTTTTTAGATCCATGATTGTGTACTTTACCTCCAGACCTCAAAAATTAGAGACAGTAAATTATTTTTGCTAAGAAGCTGGACTAAGATAGTGGTAGTAGGAATAGAGAGTAGGAGTAAGAGTTAAGAGAGATTGAAACAGAAGAGACAGAATTGGCTACTTACCTGGATTTGGGAAGATGAGGGCCAGGGGGGGGTCCCAGGTGCTCCAGAGGTCCCTCACACAGAAGGCTGGGCTAAGGTTAGGGAGATGAGACTCCACAGGCTACGAAGAGGAGGTTACATGTTTTCATGGACACATGAAGTTTGAAATTTATTATAACGTGATTCTGAAAAACATAGCATTTAGGCACAAAAAGTAGAGCACAGTTTAGTCAAAGGGAAAAAAGCACTGAATTTAAAGCTGAGAGTTCTAGGATCTAGTCCTAGCCCTGCCGGTTAGTCGGTTTATGAGTTTGAGCAAGTCACTCACCCTAAGAAAGTCTCGCTCTGGGTTGCGGGTTCAGCACTCTCCTACCACACCACTCCAAGGTGCTTCTTATTCAGTGGGTACAGAATCAGGTTCAACAACATGAGTAAGTTCCAGGATCTTCTGCACAGTGCAGTGCCTATAATTAACAGAGAGGGGATGTGCACTTAAACATTTAAGAGGGTAGATCTCGTATTAGATGTTATAACCACCAACACACACACACATACATTAAACAATAAAGGGATACAGGGAAGCTTTTTGAGGTAATGGATATGATTATCATCTTGATTGTGGTGATAGTAGCACAAGTGTAGGTCTAAACTCACAAAACTGTGTGCATGAATTATGTGCAGGGTTTCTTTTGTATACCAATTATACACATACATCAGTAAAGCTGGAGGAAAATCTTTGATAATACTGTTACAGAACCCTGCCATTGCTGTTCTTGAACAGCTGTGGGGTTCAATTGCCTGCTGCCAAGAAGCATGACTCCTAATGTAAGAGTTTGGTGAAAAAGGAAATGGGTTGTTTACAAGGGTTATAAGATTTGGAATAATGGCAGATTTCTGCCATTAAGTTCTCCCCCCTTTAAAAACATCCCAAAACACAGAGTCCTGCCTCACTTTGCTAAACCAGGCCAGTTTTAGAAATTGCCAGTCAGAGGTACCATCTTTCAGAAAAGCAGAAGTCTGCAGATCAGCCTTCCCGCTCACGGTTCATGTCCCAGCATCTCTCACGAATCCTGGTTACTAGGCAGGGCTCCCGCAGCTCCTGCTGCTGTCTTCTCCAGGCAGACTCGAATCTGGGTGGGTGGGCAGGTCCCCCATCGCACTGCCAGCTCTGGCGACTTGCTAGATTTCTTGCTTTTAGACCTCCTGTCTCTTATTCCAGACCACGTGGCTTCTCTCTCTTACTCCAGACCCCAGTGAAATTTTTATTTTTTCCTCTTTCAGCCCACCCTCATTTAAGTGCTCAACCTAGAACTTCATGACCTCACGTGACCTCATATCTGGCCCCTCCTGTGATGTGTTAGTGTCCACCATTTCTGCCAGTTCCCCCATGTCTTTTACCTTTTGTAGCTGCCATTTTTAGTCAGGGCAAAAGTTCCCAGTGGCACATGGACATCCAGGAGGGCATCTGCCCCCTGCGTGTTGTGTAGGTGCTATATGAGTACTGTATGTGCTATATGAGCTCCCCCAACCTCTATGTCACCAGGCCCTGAACGTTTTCAGTCACATACACAATTTGCCCTGGGCAGCAGCCCTCTTTCCTTCAGGAAGACGTGGCTATTGACCTGCCACTGTTATGCAATGTATCATCCACTTCCCCCTATCAAGAGTGGTGGGGGATACACTCTGCACCCCGTTACAATGTTTTTTCACCTTTCTGTCAAAGTAATTAAAGTAGTACCAGTAGTAGGTGATGATTTATGTACAGTAGACCGTACTATAGAAGTGAGAAATGAAAATTTGAAATTGGAGGGGAAAGAGTAAATGAATTGCGCCAGAGGGAGAGGAGGGTGGGGCCTGGGTGGAGGTAGACAAATTGGGAGGAAACTGGGGACATGTGTATTAGTGTTAAGAATAAAAATAAACATTTAAAATAAAATCTTTGCAACAGAAAAAAGAGTAAATGAATCATTATTGTATCTGTTTTTAATTTAGCATTAATCACAAAAGGAGGGTAGATGGGGCCTGCCTGAGTTTTAAGATAGGATAAGAAGGTTGAACGTGGCCAATAAAAGCTTTAAGCTGCTTCATAAATAAAAGGGTTTGTTAATATGTTCTGGAAAATATCTGCTGCAGATACGAAGCCATCTCTGTGAGGAGGACGAGGACCACAGCTCTGCGCAGGAAAGAATGAGGAATGAAATCTCTGACCTCACGGAGGAGCTTCATCAGAAGGAGATCACTATAGCAACAATCATGAGGAGAGCTGCCCTTTTGGAGAGACAGTTAAAAATGGAGTTAGAAATAAAAGAAAAAATGTTAGCAAAACATCAGGTATGGAAGTAGGCGGGACTGTACCTGCCCAGGTCACTCTCTTGCTCAGTGGAGACGGTAGCCTTCGGTACTGACTAATACACGCGTTGCGTTTCTCAGCATTGTCTCTGAGACTAGCATCACGGAAATGTTTTGTGGAGTCACATTAAACCTTTGTCAGATCATGCAAAGTGTCATCCAAAGGAGGACCAGGGAAATAAGTGACAGTGCAAGATAATTTCATTAACCCTCATCTGAAAATTTTCTTGTGACCCATACATTTGGCTCGTCTCCCACAATATGCCGTAGTCAAAGATTTCTTCCTGGACTTGTTTTCTATAGTTTCCTCCCATGAACATTTTTTAAAAGATTTTATTTAGCTATCTTTAGAGGGTAAGGGAAGGAGAGAGGAAGATAAATATCAATGTATGGTTGCCTCTTGTGCTTCCCTTGCTGGGAACTGGCCTGCAACCCAGGCATGTGCCCTGACTGGGAATCGAACCACGGTTGTTTGGTTCACAGGCCCGCACTCAATCCACTGAGCTATATCAGAGCCAGGGCCATTTTTATCTTTCTGAAAAGCCTCTATTCCAGTCTTGCCTGGATACTTCCCACCCTCATTTTATATGTTTAGTTTTGGGTTTAAAAAATGGACATTGAAATATGAAAATTAGTTCATATTTACTAAACATTGACTCAATGCACAGCATGGCTCATGGGGGAAAAAGTTATAACATTCTACTGATAAAATACTGCAAGTAAATCTTGAGTCCTCCTCTTCCTTCCTCACTCTCTCCCTTCCATCCTATTTATTTTGAAATGCCCTCAATCCCTATTCACCATCAAACTGCTGACCTGCTATTCAAAACATAGGATTTATCTGCTTTTTTACCCCAAATCTAGAGGATCTGAAAGCACTGTTCAATAACTTTAAAGGCATTTAAGGGTCATTTCAGAAATAACATGGCCATTTAAATCTATGTACTATAAAAACAAGAAAAGATTCAGCCTTTGTCCAGTTATAAGCCTTAAACTGATTAATTTGTACAATATCCAGATAAACAGCATCGATGGGACAGTGGCATTGGGTGTACCTGTATAGGAAAGGTTATTTTACATGGTAACAATGATCTGGGTAGTTGAATTGAATTTTTATTTTCACCATCACATTCTTATGTATTTTTAGGTTTTTGTCAAGGAGAATGAATATATTTTGTAATTTACGAAAGCCAGTGTTTTTGAGGAAAGTGTTTTATGTAAAAATGAGCCCTAGATAAATTAAAGGGTAGATGCCATGTTCTCTAAGTACTGTCAAGTAGAAGAAATCAGGGGAAAATAAATTAGGAGACAAAAATGAAATAGTCACCAAAAAAGGAAATTTGGCAGAAATATCAGGAAGAACAAAATTAAACATGAAAGTCCTATTTGCATATTGTCAAAACTAATCAGGTAATAAAGAAATTTAATGGATACTGTTATTCAAATGTCCTTTTAAAGTTGTGATTTTTCTGGTGATAATTTGAATACGCTAGAAAATAGAAATGAGAAAAGGAACTCGGGAATTGGGAAGAAAAATGTAAATGAATCATTATTTCAGTTGACTATTTTTATCTTAGCACTGATCAGAAAAGGAGGGTAAAGTAAGGCCTACCAAAAATAGAACTTAATGAGAATACCTGATTTGTGATAATCATGCCCAAGAAGTATTTTCTTTCACTACCCTTAGAAAATATTTATACTAACAAAATTAAATTAATTATAAAATAATTATGAGCTTTTATCATGAATTTTACATTTACTTTTACCTACTAATCTCCTTTCAGGTCTCAGATATAAGATATAAAACTGTCAGAGCTGAAAATGCACACCTAAAAGGAATGATGGGAGATTTAGACCCTGGACGGTACATGGTAATATGCTGTAGTTATTCAGTAAATTGCACAGAGATTACTTCGTTGGTCAGGATTTAGCCAGCCATTATTTACTGAGCACTTCCTATGGTGTGGCAAAATGTCTTGCACATGGATTGAATTTACTTTTATCTTCAGGCTAAACACTTGAATTTCAGTTTCCGACCTTGCTCTTTTCTTGGGTAGGGCTCAATTCCGATCATTTCCTCAAACATGCTACTTCCTTGCTTTTGCTCTTGCCATTGCCTCTGAATTCCTACATCCTGCATGGCCTGACTCAAGTGTCCACCTTCCCCTTGAAGAAACTCCAGTCAGAATGAATCGTTCTAGCCACACTTTGTTTGTATTTTGGTCTGACTTGTTTCACAGCTTCACGCTTCCCCACTGAATGGTGAACTCCTGTGGCAGTGAGGTGCTGCAACATTAATAGATATTTGTGTCCCCAGCAAACATCTTTTGATAAGTGTTTAATAGATGTTTGAATCAGGGGGTATAATAAATGTTCCATGAATGTTGGTTGAAAAGAAAGGGTGAGTAAATGGAGTGAGAACTTATCTTGTGGCTTTAAGCAGTGACCCTTCAGGTTTACACAAGGCAACTTAAACTGGTTCTGTGCCTTTCATCTGAACTGTTTAATATAACAGTTGAGGGCTGGTTTTTATATGTAAACAGGATAACATTTATTTATTGAACTAATGAAATAGCTTTGTTATTTGTTTACAATTTATTTGCTCTGAAAGAAAATTCTGAAGTAAAGTAATTTTTCTACTATTCAAGGAATGGAGAGGGTAAGAGATGAGTATGGTCATTGCTTAACCTGGCTTCAATTTCCTCAGCCATGAAATGAGGAAGTTGGGGTAGGCATTTCCCATGGTCCCTTCTTAAGCCATAATACTGTATTTCTTTTTTATTTAATTTTATTTTTCCCATCACCATTTATCCCCCTATTCCCTCTTCTACCTCTACCCTCCCTCCCCTCCTCCCTGCATTTCTGTAATAGTATGTCTTTGTTCTCATAATAGTCCATGTTCTAGCACCAAGGAGTAGAGGCACTCTGGAAGCATTTTGGCCTCTTCTCTGGGCCTGGTCATGGGCCCTGTGATCAGAGTACTCTGGGAGGATAAAAAGTAAAGTATATGCGGTTTTCCCATCTGTTACTTAAAATCTTCCTGACACCTAGGACTTTCATTTCTGAGCACTGGAAACACAAAGAGTTAAATTGGATCCTGCCCTCATGAGTGTCTTTTTTTTTTCTTTCATAAAATGGTTTTGTGTTATTCTTTAAAATATTTTTAGGTGTATTCTGCATCTTCCCACCTCCCACTGAGCTTGCTTCACTCTGGCTTCACTCTGTAGGCATTTAGCTTTCTCACTGGTTTGTTTTTTCAAGAAATAAAACAAATAAAGATGTGTAAAGAAAAAGCTAATTATCCCTGTTTCTATCCCCAGTCCTAGTTTGGATTCCTGAGATACCCACTGTAGCATTCTATAATACTTTCTTTGCTCACACACACATATGCAGGGTATGAGTTGAATGTTCCTTTACAGAAATGAATGTACGCTGTACATGAACTGCCTTTTGACTACATATCATAAATATCTCTACAAGTCAGTAGAAAAATATCTTCTGAGTTTCTTTGAATTTCTTAGGAAAAGATACATTCTTATGTAATATATATAATTTTAATAAAGTAAAATCATAACTTACATACTTGTGATTTTAGTGGTCTTTTCTGCTTCTCCCTTTCTCCTTTCTTCTTTTTCTCTTTGCCACCTCATACCACATCTACCAGATAACACGTTAATTATGCAGTATGTATCAATTTGTAATTTTTCATTTTTATGAATTCATATGTGTGTGACTATACAAACATACATATGCATGTGGTCATATAAAACTAGGGGTTTTAACTCTTTTGAGAAAATGGATCACATTATACAAACACGATTTTCTGTGTCCTATTTTTGTTCACTCAACAAAATCCTTTGCAAATCCTTAGAAGTCAGCTGGTTTAGGTCTATGTTCTTTTGTATAATGGCTTAGTAATATCCCATGATGTGAATGTATCAAAATGTATTCAACTATTTTCAGAATTAATTTACTCATAATTAATTCAATTTTGTTTCGAGGTGTTTGCACAAATAAACAATACTGTCAAAAAACATCCTTACACATGTAACCATAATAATGGAACTGCCGATTCAAAGGATATCTATGTTTTAATTTTAAAACATTTGTTTTCAAATTATAGCTCTATCTTTCTCTTTCATTCTTACCAGCAGTATATGTTATAGCTCTTTTAAATTTTTGTCAGTCTGATGGGTATATGGTGATTTCTCAATAGTGCTTTAAATATGCATTTCCCTGACTACACTGTGTACACTTTTTAATATTTATTTAGCAATGTACTATGAATTAGTTGTATTCTTTGCTCATTCCTCTCTTGGGCTGTTTTTTTCTTCTCAATTTATACTAGCACTTTTCTAAACTTATTGTTTGTAATTTTATTTATAAATTCTTTTGCCATATAAAGAGTTTTAAACTTGTATTTGTCAAACATGTATATCTTTTTGTCTATAGCTTCGGGATTTCCTTCCTTGAATAACAAGGTTTTCCAATGCCTACACAATAATATAATGTTTAATGTTTTTTCTAACATTTCTACATTTTTCATCTTTAATCCACTTGAATTGTAATGTTGCATGTGATAGAAAACAGGAATCCAATTTAAATTTTTATATCAGTGTCAAGTTCAATTTACCTAGTTTCTCCTGGTAATTTCCTGTTGGATTCTATTTGGGATTAAGTTTATATATTAATTTTGAAAGAACTGTTATTTTTATGCTAGCATGTCTTCCCATCCAAAAATATGACATGGCTTTCCATTTCTTCATTTCTTATTTTGTGCTCTTCAATGAGATCTTGCTATTTTCTTTGTATATATTCTGTGCCTTTTTAATTTATTCCAAGTTTTTAAAAATTTTTGTCATTTTTGTAAATGGAATGTTTTCTTTTTTCCATATGTAAGAATTTATTGCTAATGTAGAAAAAAAGCCAAATTATCCTTTAGTTTTAGTAGGCATTTTACTTGAGATTCTTAAGTTTTTTGAGATATACAGTTATCAACAAAAAGCTTTATCTCTTTTCTGTTGTTCATATCAGTTATTTTTGTCACATTGCAAGAGAATATTAAATAATAACATTGCCCAAGCAAATATTAAATAATAGTGATTACTGACAAATCTAATTCATGATTTTAGATGAAATTGTTTGAGTGTTTACTGTTTAGGATAATATTTTGTTCTTGATTTATGGTCTCTATTATATCTTTCTTTTTATTTTTATTGTTGACACTATTATTAATGTCTCCATTTTCTCCTTTGCCCACCTCCCAGCCGCCATTTCCCTTCCCTCAGGCCATCACCATACTGTAGTCTGTATCCATGGATTATGCAGCTATGTTCTTAAACTCATCCCTTCACCTTCTTTCATCCAGTCCCCCTCTCCCACCCCTCTTATATCTCTATACCCCTAATTTACTTAGAGTTAAGATTTGCTGCTGGTTTTTATTCAATGTCTTTTTAGTATATATGACATCATGTGGATTTTGTTCTTTAATTTGTTGATATGTAATAGATTATGGTTGGCAGACATTTTCTACTATTGATCCATCTTTGAATTCCTGGCATAATTCTTCTTGGTCATTGCCAGCAGTACCTAGAGCTAACTACCACAAAGTGGGTGGCTTCAAACAACAGAAACTTACTGCACAGTTCTGGAAGCTAGGAGTCCAAAAGTGTCAATCCCTAACAGCCATACTGTAACAAATTTGATATATTACTGGATTCTATGTGATAATATTTTATTTAGAAATTAAGACCTGTATGTATAAATGAGATTTGTATACAGTTCTCTTTTTTTCTACTTGTTTTAACATTATGCTGGATTTAGAATGTAAACTGGGACCTTTCTGTCTTTATGAGTGAGCTAAAAGTGTTTAAATAATATGGAAAATATCAGTCCTTTAAAGATTAGAAAGATTTTAGCTGTCACACCATCTGGACATTGAAGTTTTAGTGAAGTAAATCTCAATTACCTTTTTGTTACCTCAGTATATTCAAATTTCCCTTCTTAGGGGAAGGGAAATCTGTTGTTTTGTTTTGTTTTGTTTTTTGTAATTTGTATTTTTCTGGGAAATCTTTATCCATTACAATTTGTTTCCTTATTATCAAAGGTAGTAACATCCTACAATTCTTTTCATTTCTTCTATATTCTGGGTTTATGTTCTTCTCCTTCCCAAGCTTGTACAATTTAGTTCTCACTCTCCTTTTTTTAAGTCTGACCCACAGGGGGATTATTTATTTTATTAGTATTTACAAGCATTGGCTTTTGGATTTATAAACCTGGATCAAATTTTATCTCCTCCATGAATTTGTCTCCAACTACTCTAGGCCTCATTTATTTCTCCTTTCTTTGACTTTGTTTAGCACTCTTAGTTGTAAAAATTTAGCACTAACTTTTGAATTGTCTTCTTTTTTTAACTTTTATGTAAGTATATGTATTTCTGTCTCATCGGTCATTAACTTCTATAGAAAAGAAATGATTATATTTCATACTTTTTCTTCATACAGGGTTTAATATAGAGTACAGCTTAATAAATACTTATGGATCTATGAATCTCACCTGTAGTCTAAGAAACATGAATAAATTACCATGGAAACCATTGCTAATATCATGAAAGAAATCGGCAAAGCCTGTTTTATCTTACTTTCTGCGTGATCTCAGTCCACATGCAGTTGTTATTCATTGATTAAAAAGCATTAGAATTCCTGCTTGGTGCAGCATAATTTAACATACAATTACATTTTATATTATTCACTATTTTTTCATGCATATTAGTTTAATCAACTCAATTTTAGGTGTATTTTTAAGTATATTTTATTGATTTATGCTATTACAGTTGTCCCATTTTTTTCTCCCTTTTATTCTCTTCTGCCCT